GTGTATAGGGTGAGTGTGTGTGTGTATAGGGTGTGTGTGTGTATAGGGTGTGTATGTATGTATAGGGTGTGTGTGTGTATGTACGTGTGTGTGTGTGTTTAGGGTGTGTGTGTGCAAGCAGGGGTATATGTGTATAGGGTGAGTGTGTGTGTGTGTACAGGGTGTGTTGTGCAAGCAGGGGTATATGTGTATAGGATGAGTGTGTGTGCGAGTGTGGGTATGTATAGGGTGAATGTGTGTGAGTATGGGTGTGTGTGTACAGGGTGATTGTGAGTATGGGTATATGTGTATAGGGTGAGTGTTTGAGTATGGGTATTAAAGGCATGCACCACCACAACCAGTCAGCTTTTCTTTATTTTAAATTTATTTATATTTGAGACAGGGTTTCACTATATGGCCTTGGTTGGCCTGGAACTCATTATGTAGACCAGGCTAGCCATGAATTCTTAGAGATATACCCGCCCCTTTTTCCAAGTGCTGGGTTTAAAGGCATACCATACTTGGCAACTCTTCATTTTTAAAATGACAACTGTCATAATTTCTGGGAATTTCTTTAAGCTACATAAGCCCATGTTGTTTGGTCATTTCCTCTTGGTGATTCATTCACTAATTCACCCCATCTTAAATTCTATGCCAGGCTCTGGTGAAGCACTGGGGATACAAAAGTGAGCAAAAACGAGCACAACTTCCTGACCCAGGGAGTTTCTACCCCATCAGGGGAGGCAGACGAGACAGGGCACACAGCCAGATATGGTCCTGTGAGCATGGAAAGCCAGCACTAAGGAGGTAAAAGCAGGTGGATCTCAAGATTGAAGACAGCCTGTGTTATATGACAATACTACATCTCAAAATCAAAACAAGGAAACTCAAGGTGGACAAGCAGACTGGAGGCCAGAGCCGAGAGGAATAGTGCTACATTAGAATGTGTGCGATTTCAGATAGCGGCCAAAGAGTTTTCCTGAGAAAAGGACACTAAAGACATTTTCTTTGATTGGTTTGGGTTTTATTTCTTCTTTTTAAGAATCACCTTCATTTATTTGCGGAGTGATGGAGGAAGGTCATTGGTTAAATAAAAAGAAACTGCTTGGCTCTCATTGGTTAGAGATAGGTGGGAGGAGTAAACAGAACAGAACGCTGGGAGGAAGAGGAAGTGAGCTCAGACTCCACAGCTCTCCTCTCGGGAGCAGAGGCCTCAGCAGAGACGCCATGCTCCCGGCTCCTGGGCAGACACACGCGATGAAGCTCCGACCCAGGATGGACATAGGCTAGAATCTTCCTGGTAAGACCAGTGCTCACAGATTATTAGAGATGGGTTGATCCGGATATCAGAATTAGCCAGTAAGGGCTAGAGCTAAAGGGCCAAGCAGTGATTAAATGAATACAGTTTGTGTGTTGTTATTTCGGGCATAAGCTAGCCAGGCAGCCGGGGTGCTGGGGACACAGCCCCGCCGCTCTTATTACTACAGCGGAGTGTGGGGGGGGGTGGCTGCTAGTGTGTGTGTGTGTGTGTGTGTGTGTGTGTGGTAGGTCCAGGGGACTGAGTTCAGGCTGTCAGGATTGGCAGCAAGCACCTTTACTTGCCGAGCTGTCTTGCCAGGCCTAATTTTGATTTTCTAGTTTGTAGGTCTGGGGTAAGATATGAGGAAATATCAAAACTTGATTTTATTATGATGGGGGAGGGGACTCATGCACACCACAGTATGTGTAGGGAGGTCAAAGGGTCACCTTGTGGAGCCAGTTCTTTCCTTCCAATTTTCTATGGGTTCTGGAGTTTGATCTCAGGTCATCGAGTCTGCTTAGCAAGCACATTACCTGCTAAGTCATCTCAGCACCCCTAAACTCGACGCTCAAGAGCTGGGAGTGCTTGCCATGCATGCAGGAGAACCTGAGTTCGGATCTCCAGGACCCACATAAAGCAAGGGGTAGCAGTGCCCAGCCGCAATTCCAGAGCGGAGGAGGACCTCGGGGTCTCGCTGGCCAGGCAGTTTAGACAAATTCACAAGCTCTGGTTCAGTAAGTTCTCATAAAATAAGGTGGGACAGCTGACATCCATTTCTGGCCTCCACACACAGGAATAGGCATGTGCACATATACCTGTACATGCACACATGCAAACACACAGAAATCACTTCTAACGTTTGAACGAAGAGATGCCAGTTAGACATGAAAGTGAAGTCAAATGAGTCACTAGCGTCTAAAGTTCAAGACACAGGTCAGAGCTGGAAATGAAAACTAAGAAGTTATCAAATTGGAAGGAATAATTAAAGGCAAGAAACAAGATGAGATCAATTAAATGAATAAGCACAGCTAAAGAGACCAAGAGTTGGGGGCTGGAGAGATGGCTCAGAGGTTAAGAGCACTGATTGCTCTTCCAGAGGTCCTGAGTTCAATTCCCAGCAACCACATGGTGGCTCACAACCATCTATAATGAGATCTGGTGCCCTCTTCTGGCATACAAACATACATGGAAGGAATGTTGTATACATAATAAATAAATAAATCTTTAAAAAAAAAAAAAAGAGACCAAGAGTTTAAACAGTGAACCCTGGCATTCTGCTGGCAGACATCAGGGGAGGGAAAGGAATCCTGCAAGGAACTGAAAAAGAACAGAGAGGATGGGGACCAGGACAAGATCGTCTTCTGAAAGCTAAGGGTGTTTCAAATCAGAGAGGGTGAAGCCACCAAGTGAGGCTGACAGAGATAAACAGACTCAGCAGAGCTCCCGCCACACATTCATTCAGGTCTGCACAGGGTGCAAGAGCAAAAGATGGAGGACCAGGGGACTTGCTCCAGAAGACTGGAGATGTGTAGGAGCTGCAGAGAAATGGGAGAAACGAGCTCCATTTAACCGGTGTCGAAGGGAGAAGCACCGCACTGTGCACATGCTTGCGATGTCTTGGCACAGCTAGCGAACGCTCACCTGGGGTACAAAACCTCCCCAGACTAGAAGGAAAAGGAGCCATGAGAACCGAAGCTTTGTGCGGTGATAGGACATGGTATCACAAGTACAGGCATTGATGAGGCAGCATAGTGTGTCCTACCAAGAATAGGGAGCCAGATGGAAGCCATGATGAAGCTTATACAGGCTCCCTTCTGCATGTGTGTTTCCTCCACACACTGAGAGTGTGCATGGAGAATGAGGTGTTGCACACTCTGTAGCAGAGTGAAAAAGTAAACAGGGAAACATGGCATAGCTGCCTGGACATGTTGGGTCTACTTAAACTTGTGATCATGGATTCTAAATGAGATGGCCAGACCACGTGGCTGTGTGAGCTCTTCTCCAGCCTTGCTCCAGGGCAGGGGCAGACAGTAGGTGGGAAACGGATGTAACCACAACTGTGCTACAACCTAGCAAGAAAAACAAATTCCAGAACTGCAGGGATGGCCCGACACAGCAAGGAGGCAGTACAGTTGTGAGCACATTTCCCAAGGAAAAGACAACTTAGTCCCGGAATCCTGAATGCTTATCTGCAAACTGCCACAGCTATTCAGCCCACGCGCTCACACAGGTGTTCTTCCTGTTATCACTACAAGAATGATGGACAGTTTATCCACACCGAGAAGCCGCCACTGAGGGTTAAGGACCCAAGGCGACAGAAACTGCAAATGCTCTTAGGTTTCAAGAGAAAGGGGGCTGTCTGGATGGCTACGGCAGAGCTCACAGAGCTGGAGATCAGATTATTATAAATGACACACAGAGCTTGCATAGCACCTTTGCGTCTTCTCCGTAACTGATTACCATGATTACCATGTTTATCGAAGCATCATGTGAGAAAATACATTCAGGCACACGTGTGAGTAGATATCTTTTCCTAAGAAGGAAAAGACCCTGAACATTGCCCACCTAGGAGCTCATTTATTTTAAAGAACTTGTACCAGAGTTAAGCAGCTCCCCAGAAGACGGCTACAAATATACAGGTGGAGCTGATTCCTGTAGACTGAACCCTGGGCCTCTCACATGCTGGCAAGTGCTCTGCCATCCACAGCACGTCTGGGCCTCTCACATGCTGACAAGTGCTCTGCCATCCACAGCACGTCTGGGCCTCTCACATGCTGACAAGTGCTCTGCCATCCACAGCACGTCTGGGCCTCACACATGCTGGCAAGTGCTCTGCCATCCACAGCACGTCTGGCACCCGCTGTAATTTAGAGGAAAAGTCTGTGCCAACGCAGCCCAAAGACAAGAGCGTCGCTATTTGACCATTATTTCAATCTTGCATTTGCAAACAATTTTTTTGTTTATTTCTGAGTGCATGCACGTGCCTACGAGCATGAGTCAAAAGTTGGTGGTGGCGCTCACCTTTAATTCCAGCACTTAGGAGGCAGGACACAGGCAGATCTCTGTGAGTTTGAGGCCAGCCTGGTCTACAGAGTGAGTTCCAGGACAGCCAGGGCTACACAGAAAAACCCTGTCTCAAAAAGAACCCAAAGTTGATGATGGCTGTCTTCCTCTTATTTTTTTGAGACAGGGCTTCCCACTGAACCTAGAATTTACCTATTGACTAGACTGTCTGGCCATGAGTCTTAAAAGTCCCTGCCTACTCAGTGTTAGGGTTACAGACATGAATCTCTGAACCAGTTTTTAAAGGGGTCCAGAGAATAAGAATGTGGGTCCTCACACGTATGCAGGAATCACCCACCAAGCTCTCCCCAGCCCCTAGAGTACATTAAGAGATGACAGAGGACTGGGGTAAAGCACATGCTATTAGAGAAGGAATGGGGTGGAGGAGAGACACATCAACCAAATTCACAAAACCAGCAGAGTCAAATTCAGTCTTGGCCAGCTCCAAAGGCCAGACCTGAGCCTGCTGGTAGAGCTGGGAGGGGGTTGGGAGATGAATGAGTTTGCAAATCTTCTCCGGTCACTATCAAAATGAACTGAAACAGTGAAATACGCAGCAGTGACCTTTAGGTCACTGATTGTTTTTTAATTTGTGTGCTAACATTGGGATGATGACATCAGAGGTACAACTGCTTCCAGGTCGGAGGCTGAGGCTCACCTGCTGCACCTATGGGGGAGGTAGCTGGGGTCATGTTGTGGACATTGAGACCAAGACTCTGGGAAGGGCCTGGGGCTGATGCAGGTATTGGAGGTCCTGGAGGGTTCTCCCTCTGGGGAGACGTAAGCGGGGTGCTCGGTTGGGAGGTCTGTCCACCAGCAAGTCGTGCCAGGCGCCTCCGGCGAATCTACAAAAGGGAAAGAGAGAGGACATTCTGTAACTAAAAGCAGAAAACAAACATTGTAAGAACAATGACATCCATGTACTAAAGACATCAACAACCATTCCCAGGCTTAGCAGCCCAACAGTCCTCGAAACCAATATACTGAGAAAAGTCAGGAGGCAAAGCCAGTACTCTAGGTTTTGGTTTGTGTTTGCTGTGCAGGTGAGTCTGAACGTGAAAAGTCCGAGGACAATCCCAAGCCATAGCCCTCACCTTCTCCTAGTATAACCTGGGTCTTGCTGTTCCCCCCTGCACTGGGCATGCTAGCTGCCCTCCCTTCCTCCAGGGAATCTGTGAAGTCTCAGCCACCGCAACCCTTCACCCCCCACTTCGCACCCCTGCATGTCTAGAAATAAACTCAAACTGACCTACAGGATTTCTGGTGGTCAGATAAAAGTCAGCGCTCCTGAGGAACTGATGAGATGGGTTTTCTATCCCCAAAAGGAGTCTCTCCCCTCCAGCTACTCGGCCTCATGTAATCTGTATGATCTGTCTGCCCCACACTCTCTTGCTACTCTGGCTATGCCCGGTCTCTTGCTGTCTCCCACCCCACCCCACTCTCCCACTTTTCTAGCCTGCCCATGTCCAGGCTGCTTTCTTCTCCACTCGGCACTCCTCCAGATGCCCTGGCTATTTTCTCTCTTACGCACAAAAAATCTTCCCCTAATAGAGTGCTCCTCCAGGCAGTTTCTTTACTGCAGCCCTCACAAGCACCGGGAATAAAGCACACACTACTGCGTCTGGCTTCATGTGGGTTCAAGCTTGGGCAGCCAAGACAAGGCTCAGTGAGGAAAGCCCACAGCCTGGTCTACAGGGCGAGTTCCAGGACAGGCTCCAAAGCTACAGAGAAACTCTGCCTCAAAAAACAAAAAACAAACAAACAAAAAGATATAAGACACATACACAAAATAAAAATAAATCTAAAAGAATTAAAATAAAAGTCAACTTCATCCAAAAGGAAAAACAAAAGACATAAATTTTATTATATGCTTCAAGGGCAAAATATTTAGGCTGCTTTTCTTGCTATTTTTCATATGATCAAAAAGAAAATATAGTCTGCCTTTCTTCCCCAAGCACTCCAGCTACCAAGGACTGAAAACACAGAGCGATCACAGCCATGCTTCCCATTCCGGTGACTGACAACTAGGCGAGAGGGTCACAAACCACACCCCCACCCCCACCACCACCCCTCACCCGGGCTATGCACCTGTACGACAACTGCTGGATGTGAGCGGGCATCACAGAAAGAGCCAGACCCTGGTACACTCCTACCAGGAATACGGAAGATAAAAAGCCTCAACTACCGCAAATGGTAACAAGGACAAACTCACTTGAACCTAGGATGTGTGTGTGTCACTCCCACACGGTAGGACTCCTGCTCCTTTTATCACTCTCAGACCAAGGAAATGTCCTGAGTCCTCTGCCGAAAACAAAGCAGCTTCTCCTGCTGCCTGTGCTGCAGACATACCAGCCCCTCCCTTCACCCTGAACCTGAGCGGCTCACATAGTAGCTAGTTTAGGTTTACTTAACTGGATTAAATCATCTGAGAACAAGATTAGGAGAATTTGAACAGTGGTTCCCAGCCTTCCTAATGCTGCAGCCCTTTAAGTCAGTTCCTCATGTTGTGGTGACCCCCAACCATCAAACTATTTTCGTTGCTACTGCATTGCTGTAATTTTGCGCCTGCTATGAATTGTAATGTATATCTCTGATATGCCACCCTGTGGAAGGCTTGACCTACTCTCAAGGAGGTTGCAACCCTGTGAACCACTGAGCTAGAGAGACAGCACAATTGAGAAAGTTCTTGCTTGACCAAGCATGAGGGCCTGCGTTCAAGCATGACTCAGCTTTCTTTCTGATGCTGTGACTCAGGCATCTTTCCGTTCCAAATCTCAGAAGAGGACTCATGAATCCCTGAACAAAATCCCTTGGCTTGTTAAATTCAGGAGGCTGTGCTGTCTTCCCGTGGTCTCCATCCCCCGGAGACGCGTGGCAGTGTGCGGACAGCAGCATCTCGCCTTCTTCACTACTGGGCTCTCTTACACTGAGGACTAATGTCGTATTTAACCCCTCCCAGGGACAACTGTGAAAAACTAGCACATTCAAGAGCCTGAGCTATGCTTACATCTGACTTGGGTATCTTTATCCAAGACCCAGAAAGCAGTCAGGGTGAAGGAGGGAGACGCACTGTCAGAGGCAGATGGGTCTGCAGGAACCCACACTGCTTCCCCAACAAAGGCAAGTGTGTCCAGATGAGCTGAGCCACAGTCAGGGCAGGCAGGCTGAGACAAAATCGCTTACCACCCTGAGGTCTGGACTTGCTCAGGAAGGCAAGGAAAAGACTAATGAAGTGTGCATGCAAGGGAGTAACTGGGACAGACGACCACTCGGCACCACAGCACCAAGGTGGGACAAACACCACCCTGGCAATGAGGACATAGAAGAGAAAGGACAAGTTCAGAGACATTTTTTAATGAGCACAACAACAGAACTTGGTCATTCTTTGGAAGTGAGGTAAGAAGTACCAGAAAGTATAGATTTCAGGCCTGGCTATTTACATGAAGATAAAACTCTGTAAACTGAAAATACAAGAGATTTCTCCAAGCAAGCAAGGCAGCCAGGCAAGAGGCGTGTACCTGCAGTGCCAGGCCGTGGGAACATGGGGGATAACTGTTGGAGCCCAAACGGTCATAGCAGCTTGTATCTCTATCCATCCCAGCAGTGGGAAGCTGGAGAAAGGTAGTTTCCAGAGTTTCTCCGGCCAACCAAAATGGCAAGCTCCAGGTTCAAAGTGAAATTGGCTCAAAATAATAATAATAATAATAATACAGAGCCATAAACAAAAATAACTAAATCGATCTTAACCTTTTGCTTCTACAGGCTTCAACACACACATGCACACACGCACGCATGGACGCACGAGGGAAGGGTACTGGAGGAGTTTGAATTAAACTACGGTATGAAGTATCTGCAAGAAACTCAGGTCAGCCGGAGGCTGAGGAGCATGCCTGCAATCCCATCTCTTGGAGCCTGAGGCAGAGCATTTCTGTGGTCAGCCTGAGACACGTAGGGAGACTATTAAAACTCTAAATGAAGGGAGGACAACTACTTAACATGGTGCAGGGGCTTCCGGGCAGGCCAGCACCCAGGCTGTGACAAGACAATTGCTGGCTGCTTCTCCACAGGTTTAGTGAGAACTGGGGGCTTTAAAAAACGAAGTAGAAAGATCTGAAAATCTTGTATTTTGTCCAGAAGGAAGCATGTTTAAAACTGGGACTAAGGAAAGCGTGATTTCTAAAAAAAGATTAAGGCCATTAAAAAGAAAAAAATCAAGCGAGCTGGAGATGGCTCAGCGGTTAAGAGCATCTGTTGCTCGAGCAGAGGATGCACGCTCGACTGCCAGCATCCACATGACACCTTCACCCACTGAGCCATTGTATGGCCCAAAGGACACAAGCTCAAAACTTGCATATCTCCATAGAGTTACTTTTAATGCTGTTCTTTACAGGGCTTTTGGATTTTGCTTAGGTTTGTTTTGGTTATGGATTTTTCAAGACAGGGATTCTTGCCCTGCCCATCCTGGAACTCACTGTAGATCAGGCTGACCCTATTAGACTCAGATCCGCCTGCCTCTGCCTCCCCAGTGCTGGAATTAAAGGTGTGTATCATCACCATCCACTTCATTACAATTTTTAAATGTGTTATTTGATTTATTTTCTCAAATAAAGGGATATAAAGTCAGCTGAACTAGGACAGACTGCAGAAAACCTGAATGGCTGACAAGAGTTTATAGAGCCTGCAAATCAAGGTCCACAGGAACTGATACCCTCTTCCGGCCTCAGCAGGCTCCAGGCATGCCAAGTGGTACACAGACATACAAGCAAGCAAAATACCCATGTACATGAAACAAAATTTAAGTTAAAAATATCCTTATGCACATAAAACAAAATAAACCTATAAAGGTTGGGCAATGGTGGTGCAGCCTTTGATCCTAGCACTCAGGAGGCAGAGGCAGGTGGATCTCTGTGAGTTCAAAGTCAAAGTCAGCCTGGTCTACAGAGAGAGTACCAGGACAGCCAGGTCTACTCAGAGAAACCAAGTCTCAAAAAAAAAAAAAAAATACTCAGTACAGCACAAAGAAATATATAACAATAAAGGCTTTAATACTTAGTACAGTGTTCGTCCTTGGAATCCCAAATCTCGACATCAAGGAGGTGGGAGACTGGTAATTCAAGGTCATCAGTGGCTACACAGGTCATTCAGGAGCAGTCTGGGTTACATGGGACCCTGTCCCCCAAAAGACCCAAAAGGTGGGGGATTTTCCAAGATATTCATCAACATTTGATTTGAGGGAGGGGTTGCACACACACCATGGCACAAGGGTCTCATTTTCCACAATGTGAGGCTCGAGGATCAAACTCCCATCATGAGACCTGATGGGAAGATCCTTCACCCCACTGATCCATCTCACAGGCTCTAGACCAGCAGTCTCAACCTGGGGGTCATGACCTCTTTGGGGGTCAAACCAACCTTTCACAGAGGTCACGTATCAGATATCCTGCATGTCAGATATTTACATTATGAGTCACAACAGAAGCAATGAAAATAATTTGATGACTGGGGGTCACCACAACATGAGGAATTGTATTAAAGGGTCACAGCATTAGGAAGGGTGACAGTCACTGGGCTCTACAAACTTTTCAAAAAGCCCTTGAGCTCGGTGTGGTGACACACTCCTGCAATCAGAGCACTCTGGAGGCTGAGGCAGCAGCATCCTAAGTCCCAGGACAGAGGAGGAAGAAAGGGAAGAGGAGAGAAGAAGTACTTCATCTCTCTCTTTTTTTTTTTTTTTTTTTTTTAGTTTTTCGAGACAGGGTTTCTCTGTAGCTTTGGAGCCTGTCCTGGCACTAGCTCTTGTAGACCAGGCTGGCCTCGAACTCACAGAGATCCGCCTGCCTCTGCC